TAGTGTTTGTTGTAAGTTCTTTAGGGAGTATTTGTTCCCCTTTTCTTTTGTTTACTTTTCTTCACCCACCCCTGCCTCCCTCCCTGCCTTTATTTTCTTTGTTGCTTTTTACTTTTGGTTGTGAGCCTAGCCTTCAAAAGCGCAGCCATCTCTCTAGCCCTCTTGGTGTTTGATGAGGTCTTACTCTTCCAGTTCGGGCTCTCTTCTGGGATTCTCAGTCCTGCTTCAGTCTCCCACACTGCTCAGGTTATAGGTGCTTGGCATCATGCCTAGCTATAACATGCCTCTCTGTGTGTGAGAAGTCATTCTTAGAGCTTGCTGGGTTTCCTAGTGGAGATGACCCTTGTCGGTTCTGAGCAGGCTGCCTTCTCTGTCACATAGAAATAATACCTTTCTCCCTGTTTCTACTGGATGGCTTTTTTCCACTTACCCAAGTTCTGAAAAACAGTTTACAGGACGTGAGGTCTTCTCTCCAGCACTTCTCATGTTTGCCATCAGCTACCGTCAATTAACCTCAGTCCAGAGGGTTCATGGCTTTGTCACAGCCTGTCTTTAGTCACTTGTTTATAAGATCTTGGTCTCTAGACTCCCAAGGCTTGGCTTGGCTACACATTTTAGGGTTCTAACAAGTGTGGTATTTCCTTAGAATTGACTCTGGGATTCTCTAACCCTAGTTAGTGTCTGCCCTAGTTGATGGTGTGAGCCAGGGAATAGTAGATAAAGGGAATGAGGAGAGACAGGGTTTCTCTGCTTAGCACTGGGCTGGCTATCCTGGAACTCACTCTGTAGACCAGGCTGACTATCCTGGAACTCACTCTGTAGACCAGGCTGGCCTTGAACTCAGAGACCCACCTACCTCTTCCTCCTGCTCCTGAGTACTGGGATTAAAGGTGTGTGCCCCCCATTCCGGGCTCTGTTTTTGACTTCTAATCAAGGCTGTGTGTGATTGCTGTGGTGGCCAGACCCCCATCCTGTAGACACTGGACAAGAGACGCTAAGATCAGCCAGAGCTGGTGTGTATGCCTGAGGTACAGGAGGCTTGTTTTCCTCAGGGTAATTTTAGTGATTTAGAAACTGAAGAAAAGCATCATCTGTAGCCAAAGGGGAGGGAAGTAGCAGATTTCCTGAACCTTCAGATCTGAGAGGAGCCCATGGGCAGCATTTCCATACAAAGCTCAGATTTGAGCTCGAGTGCATTTGTGATCATGCCAGACCTGTAGTGCTGGAGTACATGTGTGCCATGTTCCAACTGCCTGTGCTTACCCTTTTCATTTGTGTGTGTATTTGAGTGTGTGCTTGTTCCTGTGGGGTTGTGCATTGGCCTGTGGAGGCCAGAGGCTGACATGGCTGTCTCTCTTGGGTCACTTTTCACCTTATCTTCTGATAAGGCCTCTGACTGAGCCTGACCTCATTCATTGATTCAGGTCACTGTCAGGCCCGTGACCTTCAGGGATCCACCATCAGGTCCCTCCCTTCCCCCACCTAGGTCAAGGGTTACAGGAGTTCCACCTTCCGCCTGGTTTTTACCTGGGTCTGGTGATCTGAACTCAGTTCCTTGTGGTTGTGTGGCCAGCACTTGACCTGCTGAGCCACCTCCCCTGCCCTTTATCTTAGATGAGGTCATGCACCTGAAAGCAACTGACACAGTTCTCTGTATAATTTCAAGCATTTCTCTGAATTACAAAAACGCTGTGTAAGGCCAACATGGTGGCTCATACCTGTAATCCCAGCGTTGTGAGCTTGAGGCAGGGGGGACTGCCACAACTTTGAATCTATCCTGGGCCACAGAGTGAAACCTTTTCCTAGAGAGCTAGCTGCAGTGCCAGTGGTTTTTCCTGCCCAGCCTCACATTTGTAGGACTTATGTTGAAGGAGGCCAGCTCAGTTGGATTGTCCTCTGTAGGCGGTAGTGTGCATCCCACCCCCATTGTAATAAAAAAACAAAAGCAGGTTCAGCTGGGAAGGGAGTTTTTCTTGTAAGCTTGGTGACTAAATCCAGTCCCTGGGCTTGGTGGTGGTGGCAGTGCATGGACGGCCTCCCAGCTCTTGGGAGGCAGAGGCAGGAGAATCTCCATGAGTTTGAGGCCAGCCTGGTCTACAGAATGAGTTCTAGGACAGCCAGGGCTACACAGAGAAACCCTGTCTTGGGGGGGAAAAAAAAAAGAGAGAGAGAGAGACAGAGAGGGAAAAAAAAATCCATCCTCAGGAACCCATGTAAAAGTGCAAGGAGAAAATTCATCCCATAAAATTGTCCCCAGACTTCTACATGACAAGGGTATTACACATGCCCACATGTGCACATCATGCACACACATACATACATACATACATACAATCATAATACATTAAAAAATTTTTTTGTGATGACATCTGCTTTTTTTTTTTTTAAGGTTTCAAAAAGGCTTCCATAAACTTGTATTTAACCCCAAATATTCTTAGCATATATACTCTAAAATAGAACCTTAGTCATCTGGATCTTAATATTTTGTTATTCCATGTTTTTCCTTTTATCAGTATTTTTTAAAAAGAGATTTATTTACTTATTTACTTACAACGTATACAGTGTTCTACCTGCATGCATCCTTGAAGGCTGGAAGAGGGCACCAAATATCATTACAGATGGTTGTGAGCCATCATGTGGTTGCTGGGGATCAACTCACAAGACCTCTGGAAGAGAAGCTAGTGTTCTTTAACCACTGAGCCATCTCTCCAGCCCTCCTTTTTATCAGTATTTTAAGGAGAGAAGGAAAAGTCTCCCATAGTAGTCTTCTTGTTGAGTACTTGTTAAAAGCATCTAATGTTGAAAAGCAGAGGGGTTCTGCTAGCAGCACATTGTGGCAGCAGGGGCAGTAGCCTGGGTTCTGGATTTCCTCTGTGCTTGCTTTGAATTTATTGCCTGATCATTCCTGTGGCTGAGTTCCTTCCCCTAGCCTCTGGCAGAGCCCAGCTTGTCAGAATCAAACTCATCACTCACACTGGCTCTGTGTGAGCCGAAGGCCCTGTAAGGTAGATCAGCTGTTATATAACAGCTTTCAGAGAAGAAACAAGGCCGGGTCTCTGGCTAAAACTGGGGTAGTGGATGTTTTATTCATCCCTGACAAGGGTGTGGTGTTAGACTTGAAGTTTCTGTTTTAGGGCAGAGGTAGGTTGCTGGGGCACTTGCCTGTTAGTGGTATAAGTGTAAATTAAACTTTGTGAAATACTACTTTTCAAAGAGGAATTTTTTTTTTTTTTGGAGACAGGGTTCTCTGTGCAGCTCTGGCTGTCCGGTAGCTAACATTGTAGATCGGGCTGGTCTTGAACTCAGAGATACAGAATCTGCTTCTGCCTCAGAGTGCTGGGTTTAGAGGTGTGGCCTAGCTGGTAATATTTTTTGTGTTTGTTTTCATATTTGTACAGCTGTGGGGCTTCCAATTCTGAATGACGGTGCTGTGTTAGTTCATTAAGATATATAGATGTAGGGTCTAGTTAATTTGGGGGTGTGATGGTTTTTATTTTCGAGGTTTTTTTTTATGGAAAAGTTTAAGGCTATAGGATAACAATACAGTAAACTCCTTTCCACACACACATCCCTGGATGGCAGAATATTTGAAGCATTTCTGTGTGCAGTTGATAAGTCTCCATGTGGTTACAGTCAGAAGTGAGGTGGAGGAGGGCATGGTGGCTTTCGCCTGTGATCTGGCACCTGGGAGGCTAAGGCAGGAAGACCAGTGCCAGATGGAGCTGGCCTAGGCTATGGAATGAGTCCTGGGCCAGCCCAGAGCAGCACACACACGGTGGGTGTCACACACGAGATGCGTGCATGCTGGAAGACGGTGGTGATCTGCTCTCTGGTCCTGGTACAGGATCAGGAAGTAGCACCAGGAGTCTGTCAGTGAGAGGAAAGCCAGCTTACTTAGTTTCTGTTAATAAAACACTATTCAGCTATTCAGGTCGGAGTCAGGGAAGCACTTAGTTTGTATATGAAATTACCCATTTGCATATTTTCTTGTAAAATCTAAATTGAGAAATTATTTTGTTTACAAGTGGTTGAGGGGATTACTGCTCTATCCTAGAGACAAATGTTATAAAGGAAAACAAATGACATTTCTTTGTGGTTTATGTGTTAGTCAACTAAGGGATATTTGATTTTACAGCCATCTCTATATTTGTTTTTTGAGACAGAATCTCTCGCAGCCCAGGCTGGCCTCCAACTCATGACCCCCTGTCTCTGCCTCCTGAGTGCTTGGGTTATAGGCTCACATTGCTATTCCCTACTTTTGAAGCCTTATCTATGTTTGCTTTTGCAATTTCCTCTTTTGACAGGCCATTTCTTAATATTGTGTCTACAGAAAAGTAGACCATGATCTGGCCATGGTGGGATTTATTTTTTTATGTCTGTAGTAGTTCATTCAGTTTTAGCCTGTGGGACAGGGAAAACTAGGACTAGGCAGATCAGTTCTGCTCACTGAAGTGATCTGGTCTGGGAAGCAGCTTGGTGGCTCCCCAGCAGCCTTCCAGCTGAGCTGTTGTATGTGGGTTCTCCAGAGAGCATGAACCTACAGGACGTTAGCATTACACGGTACACATGCACTAGAACTATAATTTACTTTCCGTTCACTCAGTACTATTACTAGCATAGCGGTTTCTTAGCCAAGGAAAATTCATTTTAGGGTGTAGAGCTTTTTGTTTCTTTTTTTTTTTTCAAGACCAGATTTCTCTGTATCTTTGGAGCTTGTCCTGTAACTCACTCTGTAGACCAGGCTGGCCTCGAACTCACAGAGATCCACCTTTCTCTGCCTCTCAAGTGAGTGCTGGTACTAAAGGCGCACACCACCACCTGGCTAGGGTGTAGAGCTGGTTATCTCTTTTTTAAACATGAAACTGCTGAGCTAAGAGTCAAGGGAAGACCTTGCTGCTTGTTGAGGTAAAGTGCGGACTCTTTACAAGTGATAGGAAGAATTCTTTAATAGAGTCTTTAATAGAGTTTTCTTTCTTTCTTTCTCTGTTTCTTTTTTCTAGAATCACAAGAAGCGGATGAACAGTTTGTGGCAGAAGTAGTTGAAAAATGTCCATCTGATGCGTGTTCTAGATCTCCAGGAAAAGAAGCACCACAGGCGACCACTGATTCCCACTCAGTCAAGGGTGTCCAAGGAGAAACCCAACATGATGTTAGTAAGATCTCAGTAGTGAGGCCATTTTCAGTAGAAACCAGGAGTTCCACAGATGACCCAGCTGCTCTTGGAACAGAAGCAGCCTGTGGCTGTGTACCTGCACTCTCAGGCAAGGCTTTGCCCTCTGCTGCATCAGAAGCTACTCAGGACAAGCCAGTGACAGAAGGAGGCATGGGGATTACATTTGAGGCCTTTACAGAAGCTGGTCTGAAGATAGGAGAGCCTGTGGCCAGCAGAAGCAAGCTGAGAAGGCCCAAACCTATCTCTCTGAGGAATAAGACCGCTAGAGGCGATGCATCTGAAACGGAAATGATGATGGAGGGTTTGCCCCTCCCTAGGGCTTCCTCCCTCTTGGCTCCCGAAGGAGTAGCCAAGAGCATGCATCCTAGTATGCTGAGAGGAGCCAGGGACCAGCAATCTCCCCTTAACCTGAAAGAAGCTGTGGACTCTCTCAGTTATGGCAGCAGTGGCTCAGGGTGTGAGCTGCAGGAGGGGTCCAGGAACTCTCCTGTCAAACTTGAATGTGATTTTACAGAAGGTGGGGGAACATGCCGAGGCCAAGAATGACCTTCCAAGGAAGCCTCCTAACACACTGATGCCCAACATCCGGAAAGATGGCATCAGTCAGCCAGTAGATGTGGAACAGCCTGCAGACCCAAGAGTCCAAGACGCCTGTCTCCCTCAAACATCTCCTAAGCTAGATCCTAGTAAATGGGGTCACCCTAGCTTTAATTCCTCCGGGAGCTGCCCCAGTCTGCAGAGCTCTGCACCCCCTCTCCTCCAAAGCCTCCTACCCCTTTGACCCGGATAACTTTGATGAGTCCATGGATCCCTTTAAGCCAAGCACAGCTTTGACAGGCAGCACCTTTCGATCCACTGCTGGTAATCATGTTAATGAAATCTTAGACTCACCCAAGAAGGCAAAGTCGCGTTTAATAACGTGAGTGACAGCGGGTGCTGGGTATGGTGCTCTGGTGTGTTCTTTGGGAGTTTGGCAGCTACTTCTGGTTTCTGTGAATTGCACTCATAAATGTTTGCGGTACAGTGGGGGGCACTGTACTCTGTAGTCTTTGCCCCTTTGCCTAACTAACTCTTCTGTGCATTTGGAAGCATCAGAGGTTTCCCTGTTGATTTCTGCCTTATCTTTGGATCCTTGACTTGTGTAGGTCACCCCCTCACCCCTATACTAAAAAAAATTGTTTAAAGAAATTAAGTAAAGATTTGAGGTTTCCAGGAATCACATTGTACATAGAATTCAAGTGTCAGTGTTAACCACAATCTTTAGATTCCAAAATTATCTGTCTTAGGTCAGCGATGTCAGAAATAACCCAGAACAGTCTTATAGAATGGAAAGTTGTGATTTTTTTGTTGGTGGTAGTGATGAGAATTCTTGTTTCCTTGTGTATTTCTAGTTCATTAGTGAATTTCTGTAATGAGAGTATTCCAAATGACCAGTTAAATCTGGGTAGATTTATTGTGTGTTCCTTCTATCTCCTACTTTCTCCTGGGAAACAGGAATGAACTTTTATTTAGTTTGGGAGTTCCCAGAGTAATACTTCAGACCATATTCCCCATCAGCTTTTTAATTTTGATACAAGTTTACATGATCAGGAATTCAAGTTGAATAAAAAAATAGCATACCTGTTTATAACCCTAAGACATCTTGTTAAAATATTAGATGCAAGGGCCAGTGACTGGGAGAATAAAATACTGAAAGGAAATGTGTTTGTGGTTGTTGTTAGATTGGCTAGGGAAATTTGAGGTATTTTTCCTGAATTTATATCTGTGTACAACTTTCATGCCTGGGCTGCAGAGGACAGATGAGGGCATCAGGTTCCCTAGAACTGAAGTTACAGACAGCTGTGAGCTACCATCATGTGGGTGCTGGGAATTGAATCTGGGTCCTCTGGAAAAAGCAGCCAGTGCTCTTAACTGCAGAACCATCTCTCCATTCTCAGGAAACAGGAAATATTCTTCAACTTTACTATGTCTTAACACCTGATTGTAAAATTACTTTGGAAAGAAAAATATCCAGAGGGTTAAAGAGTAGAAATGCTAATTTCAAGGCCAAGGAAGTTAATCCATACTAGGAATCCGTTCTCCTGAGTATTGGTCGTATGTTTAAGGGAATAAAGAGACAGGAGTTGGAGTTTTAAGTCTGCTCTCAGGTTACATAGGCACAGTTAAATGGCTTTGAAAACTCCTACTGATTGTGCAGACTTCTCTTGACCTTTAGGGTTAGGTAGTTTTGTCTGGACAGCATTTGGAGTACATTCCAGGTGTGTTTCTGGTCTGGTACTTTGTCTCTAGATGCCTGCCACAGCCTTGGTCCGTAAGTGCCTTTCCAGCTGCAGGTTGAAGGCGTGAGGTGAGTGCATTTCCCTAAGAGGACACTGACTCTGTCCCTTGTATTTAGAACCAGGAAGTGCCTACTTTTGAGTACTGCTATCTTCACCTGGTGGCCTTTTCTACTGTTCCGTTTTTTCGGAATAAATGTATGATCTAATAGATCACACTGACTTAATGAAAAGATTTGTAACCGGTCAACACTCTTTAACTGTAAGAAAAGTGTCCTTGAGTTCTTGAGCCATGTTAGAACTTGGAGAGCAGAGTCCCTTCACTTGGAAAAGACTGAAGCATTGTGGGATTAACACCCACAGTGGACAGTTAGTTTTTGGGAACATTCAAAAAGATGTATTTAAATAGAGACAGGGCAATATGGTTAGAACATTGCAGAGCAAATAGTATAAATAATGTGAAATCGTTCTACATTCCCTTTGAAGCAGGGTCTCACTTTGTAACATTCAGGCTAGCCTCTAACTTTTGACCCTGCTGCCTTAGCCTGCCAAGTGCGAATTACAGACAGACATACTGCACCATGCTTGGCTCACTTTAAGTTTCTTAGTGACAATGATGGTGGAGTCAGTCAGGTGTCTTTCCAGCTGTGGTTTTGTTGTTGTTGTTGTTGTTGTTCAGGTGTTGCCTTTGACCTGGTCTTGCACAGTTAGAGGGAGCATGCTCAGTAGGGAAGTGTTGCTTCTGTGCTGTACACTTACTTATATGCAGGGAGGGGTTAACTTTTCATCTATAAATCTGAGCACAAAACATTTCTCAGTGTTTGTATTCTCTCTACTGTGTTAAAGCTGAGGTCTTGTTACCATTCATTTGCCACAGCTAACATTCGGGCATACGACTTTTTCTGTTTTAATATTGGCATTTTGTTTGTTTTAAAGCAAGGTCTCACTGTGTAGCCCTGGCTGGCTGGGAGCTGGCTTTGTAGGTGAGGATGGCCTTGAACTCCCACAGATCGGCCTGCCAGTACTGGACTTAGAAGGCATGCACTACCATGCCGGGCTTGGGCATGATGTTTTAAATCTGTATCTCACATGATACCAAGAACTGTGCAACTTTGACATCTGCCAGACAAAAGATGAGTGCTCTAGTTTTCACATGATTCTTTTCCATCTGTGTGTCTCTTTCCTGTCTCTAATTCTGTTGATGCATCAGGACTACTGAGCAAGTGAAATTTCTCTGTTTTCTGTTGTAAGTACCTCTGCCGTAGGTTCTGTCTGTCCCCGGGACTCTGGGCAGTCTCCTCTCACCTCTGCCCGACTGCCCCGCGCGCCCCCCTCCCCCCCCTCCCCCCCCCTGCCCCCTGCATGTTAGCTTCTGTTTGACCTTGTCATTATTTGGGCCTTCTGATAATGGTCTTGCATTCCATTTGCCACATCTTAGTCAGCTTAGCCTTGCAATCATCTGTACCCAAAGGAGTGGATACTGCTTTTTCCACCTCAGGTGCAAAAAGCGCGTGCCCCGGCTTACTTAGCATGTGTCATGTGGCACTTTGAACCAAAAGCTGGCTTGGCCCCAATCATATACAGCAATTGATTTGATGGCCTGTTATGCACTCACTGTTGGAAATAATTAGGGTTTGTTTTGCTTTGTTTTATTTTTGCTTTTGTTCTTTTGGTGGGATGAGGCCGCTGTCTCAGAACAGGTTATAAGTTTTCCCGAGTAAACTTAAGTCTGGTGACACTTAGAACAGAAGGTGAAGAAGACCATGAATTAATTGGTAACCTTGTACACTCTAGTACTTTATATACTTGTCTGTGTTTTCTCTTTTTTCATGATCGGAAAACAAATTGGAAGTACTTTTTTCTTTTGTTGGTCAGGATAATGTGGGTTTTTTTCCTCCTGGATATTTTAAGTTGATTAAAACATAGGAGAATCTGTGATAGTCCTTTGATCATGAATTATGTACTAGACTAAAAATACGATGGCTGAGTTTTCTGCAATTCTGGGCATTGTACCCTACATGGTCTTTCCCCTCCTCTTTACTACCTAAGAATGGTAACTATTTGTCTCCGATACTTTCTCGTGCCCATAGATCCTTTCTGTAAGCGCCCAATCCTTGACTGACTGGCTCTGTCTTTGGAGATTGCTGTGGTTTTTAGTGCAATAAAGACTTTTCAAAGAATCTGGTCCAGCGTGGTAATTTTCTGATGACGTCAAAACCAAATGAGTAAAGATCACAACCAATGTCTCTAGCTGCTGAGGCTGTTCTTAGAGGTACTCAGAGTCTTGGAAAGGTTTTTTGTGGTGTGTGATTAAACATGTGGGGTTCAGAGTTGTGGTATCTGGCAATCCATAGAACCGAGTGAGCCTGGCCATGAGTCACTAGGATCCGCCGCATCGTCGCCATAGCTCTGCCATGCAAGTGTATGATCGTGTGGTGCCATGCGCTTTGGCTTCTGTGCTACAGCCTGTGCTCTGCTCCATCTCATACCTGCAGAGTTGTCATTGGGATTCCAAACTGGCTTGTCTGTTCCTCTCATTTCTAGGAGTGGCTGCAAGGTGAAGAAATACGAAACTCAGTCTCTTGATTTGGATACGTGTTCTCAGGTAAGTCTGTTCTGGTCTCCAGAATGGGTTTTGTCCTGTGGGGGGGTGTCTGAGGACTCAGACTTAAAGAAACTAGTTATTTGGTCCTTAGTGTCTCATACTCATCCAGAAAGGCCTGACAGGAAAGACAGCTCGGGACATAGGGAGATGGCTCAGTGGTTACTAGCACTGGCTGCTCCTCCCGAGGACCGGGGTTTGATTCCTAGCACCCACATGGCAGCTCACAGTTGTCGTAATTCCAGTTCCAGGGGATCTGACACCCTCATTCAGACATAGATGCAAACAAAACACTAATGCACTTGAAATAAAAATAAGTCATTGAAAAGGAAGAGAGAAAGAAGAAAGAAAAGACAGTCTCACACTCATCTTCCCTGGGGAGGGGAGGAGGGGCACATTCATTCTAATGATTCACCACAATGCCCCACTCTCCAGGTCACCGGTGCTGTGAAGTTTTAGAATCGGTTCTATAAAGGGTGTTGACTTGTAAGGCTCAGGTGGTTTCCCAATTTGTTGTCTTCAGTAGAATAGAGGACCTGAAAATAAGTCTGAAGAGAGCCTGGGCATGGAACATGCAAAAAAAGTTCAGACAGTTGAGAGACTCTTAATACAAAACTTCCTCCTCTTCATCTTGTTAATAGTTGGTAATAGATATTGCCATGGAATCCAGAAATTATATTGATACTGATTCTTGTTTCATTCTAGTGATTTATGCTATGCATATATGAATATATGGAGTAATTAGTGTACTTGAACTAAGAAAGGGGACTATATGCAAGAAAACTGAAACTCTTACCTCAGAGCTCTTGAAGTGCTTAAACTTTTCTGTTTAGATTAGAAAAGCACAACTTCTAAAATTTCAGGCCCAAACCACAGAACTGAAGTTCTGGAAGCAATGTTTCATGTTTGTAAGACTAAAGCTTTCTCTTAGTTTTGTAGCTGGACCTGTGGCAAATCTGAAATACCCTCATGCGTTCACAGCTGCATGCTCATTCTAGAAATGTCACTGGTTACCACCACTGCCCTTCTGAAGGACAATTGTCTTCTCTGTTGCATTTCCCAGGACGAAGGAGCCGTGATCTCGCAGATCTCAGACATTTCTAATAGGGACGGCCACGCTACCGATGAGGAGAAACTGGCGTCCACATCCTGCGGTCAGAAACCAGCGGGGGCAGAGGTGAAAGGTGAGGGCGGGGGGGGGGGGCACACTGTTCCGATGTTCCCGTGTCTACCATAAGCCTTGCATTTTCATCCTCGATACAGAAGTGCTGGAAAGGCCCTGGCAGTCACCCCAGGGACAGGTAGGGTGCAGATCTGTATGTACTTTGGTCTGCACTGGAAGAGAAACAGGCGTACTTAGCACAGTCCTAGGCACAGTGCCCAGGAGATGTCTATTGAATTTCTCCATGGTTTTGCGCCAGTACCGTTAATCTTAGAGTGGCCTGATATGTCCTACACATGGCATTTGGGGGTTGTCATGCTCCCTGTTTAGCTTCCAGACATTGTACCATGGAGGTCGTGGTGCTTGCCTGTGGCGGCCTGACTTTAGTGCTCTCCCTGTTGCTTGTCCTCCTCCTGCAGCTTGCTTTCCACCCTCCTTCAGAGGGTTATTCTGTCTCTGTGCGCTGGGAATTGAGCCCAGGGCTTGTGTGTGCCAGGCGAGCCCTCTACCTATCGCTGGGCTATATCCGCAACCCTTGGTTTTGTTGAGCCATTCAGGCCTTAAATTAAATTCAATATCTGTCAGTTGAATGTTAGAATTTCAGGCATATGTCATCATACCCACATTAAAGTAAGTTTTACATAATACAAGAACATTCTAAAGTGAAGGCCATATAAACAGAAAAGTATAGGATTGGTCTTGATTCTTTTTCTTTTTCTTTTTTCTTTTATTGTTTTGCACACTGAAACTAATTTATGTTTGTTTCATTTGTTTGTTTGAGACAGGGTCTAGCTCTATGGCCCTGGCTGACCTAGAACACTTAGGTAGATCAGACTGGCCTCAACTGTTTCGCAGTCCTCCAACCTGGGCTCTCAAATCCTGGGGTGGCAGGCTTATCCCACCATGCCCAGTGTCTTAGGTCTTTTTCTGTTGCCATGTCAAAACACCACAACCAAGGCAACATGTAAAAGAAAGCATTTAACTTTTAGGCTCAGGGTTCCAGAGGGTTAGAGCCCACGGCCATCATGGAAGCAGGCAGCAGGCAGGAGTGGCCCTGGAGAGGTAGCTGCGAGCTCACATGTTGAGACAGCAACCACAAGGCAGGGAGAGAAGGGGACTGAGTAGGAATGGCTGGAACTTGGAAACCTCAAGGAGCACTCCCAGTGACACCTCCTCCAACAAGGCCACACCCCCAACCCTTCCCTCCAGTTGGGATCCACGTATTCACTATATGAGCCTATGGGAGCCATTCTTTTGGCCTTAAGCAAATTACATACTTCCAATATAAAATGCACAGGATATACATTATGATCCCCAAAGAGAGGAATAGGAAAGTGAGGAAATGACAGATTTGGAATCTTGTAAGTCTGTCTGATGCCAGCAGTTTCCTGGCCACACTTCTGCTGAGCTGGTTCCACTCCCGGTCTGCAGGGCTCCTTGGCAAGCATCCCACACCTGAGGCATCTCCAGCATCCTGAGATCTGACTCTAAAGCAAGGACCATGTGCCTGTCGATGCCAAATTCTGCTGCTTGTGTAGAATGCACCTAGCCCCTCTTTGAATTACATCAGCGTAAGCTTTATTTGATGGTACCTGTCAGGAACATAATTTCTTTGGGTTTTTTTTTTTTTCCCCCCAGATTGCAGGGTTGGCTGGCTGGGTCTCACCTTGGGGCACCATTCCCTTCATTCCATTTCCCCTTCCTCTTTTAGCACAAACCATGGCTCCAGCATTAAATTTCCTGGTGCTCTTTTTCTCCCCAATTTTGTATTTTGCCTCAGTTTCTCTTTTTTTCATTGTAGATCTGGGTAGAAGGGGTTGCTAATAACCATCAATATTAAGCTTGTCTTGAAATTTTCTCTGGCAGTGAAATTAATCCAAAACACCTAGTTTAGCCTCAGGCAGACTTTTTGACAACAAAGGCAAAAACCTCCATGTTCTTTGCATAAATATCCCAAGAATACTCTCTAGGCCGCTAATATTGTTCCCCTCTGAACCTTCTTGAGCTGGGCCTCCGCAGGCCATGTTACTCCCAGCACTATTAGAATGGCTCCTACTAGAATGGCCTATCTAAGCCCCTTTTACAGTGTTCAGCTGTTTCCTAGTTCAAAGTCCCAGAGCCTTCTGCATCCCTCCAACCCCTGCATGGGCAGGTCTGTCAGCAAGAGCCCACACCCCTCGTACCAGTTTCTGTCTTAGTTACTTTTCTATTGCTGTGACAGAGCACCATGACAGAAAGCGTTTAAGTTAGGGGCTCATGATTCCAGAGGATTGGAGTCCATGACATCATGACAGTGAACATGGCAGCAGGCAGAGGCAGCCAAGAGCTTACATTTTGACACAGTAACCACAGGGGAGGGGGGCACCAAAGAAGACCAAACCTAATCCTTCCCAGATAACAGTTCTACCAAGCACTCGAGTAGACGGGGAGCCGTTCTCATTCAGACCACCTCACTCAGCTTAAATAGTGCTCTGTAGACACAGGCTGGCCTCGAACTCACAAGAGTCCTGCCTGCCTCTACCTTCCAAGTTCTGGGATTAAAGGCATCTGCTACCAACACCTGACCAACAGATTAATTTTCATTATGTGAGTGGTATAGGTGTGTGCGTGTGAATACAGGTGCCTGTGGAGGCCAGAAGCATCCAGTCCCCCTGGAGCTGTAGTTACCGGATGCTGTGAGCCTCATGATGTAGGTGCTAGGACTGAACTCAGGGTCCTGTGAGAGCAGTGTGTTTTCTTAACCTCTGAGCCATCTCTCCAGCTCTAACTGAAAGATGTTTTTGTGGACAGTCATAGCAGTGTGTTTAGAATGATCTAATGGTGGAGACCAGAGAACTCAGTGTAAGAAGACATGCTTGCTCATGTTCTTTGTGTCTTCGAGGATGAGAAGATGCTCCTCCTTTGGGCACTGAGGAAACATTTCCCGAATGAGCCCCATGGGACCTGTTTCAGGGGGAGATGAGAGAATTCTTCTGCAGGTTACATCAGAGAGCAGAGGACCACTCTGCAGCTTCCGAGGTGCTGAGTTCATCTCTCCCTGGAGTAGTGTTCTGAACTGCATCATTGTAAATGGTGGTGTTTGATCCCTGTCCAGGGCTAAAACATGAAGTGACTCTCTCTTCTCACTGTGGTAGATGGAGATTGAACTTGAAATCCTTGCTAGTCAGGAGCCGAGGCTAACCTGGCTCAGCGCCTCTTGCCATAGATAGGGCTCTTATGTCACTCTGGAAGAAAAGACCCTCGGTAACGTCCTGTCCCGTGTCACAGTGTGCTCTTAAAGTAGAACCGTGGTCTCTGACAACAAGTGTTATTAAAGATTTGAGTCTTCCTAAGAAAATTTGATTTGTGAGATTTTATATTTAGAGATTTAACATCATGACCTGGAGGCTGTGGCTGGGATGTAAAACAAATAGATGAATAGAAAGAAAGAAAGCAGTCATGACCTGCCACTAACCCCAGAAAGCAGGTAGAAAGTCCAAACTGAGTAAGTTATCCCCCACCCCTTGTTGTCATTTCTGCGCTGTGTCTGATGGCTGGGGTGGTCAGCGAATGGAGACGAGAGGTTTACACTAGATTGTGGTTTAAAAGTGAAACCGATTAGAAGAACTGTTGTGACGCTGACATTTGTGTTTTAAGTATTGAGTGAAATAGTATTTTAATACTGCAGCAAGGATGTTTTCAGCTTTATTTTTTGTTTGCTTTTCTAAATTTTAGGCTTCCTTTAGTCATATCTGTTCCCCAACCTTCCTACCATGTCACCTAATTCCCGGAAAAGAGGCCTGAGGAAGCCAGTTAGACAATTATGAACTTAGTTTTCAGGCTTGGATTTAAGGCTGTTTTATCTGCTACATGAATTATACTGAGAGTGTCCTCCTGAGCCAGAATTTAAATGTGCTCCGATTTAGGAATAAAGTAGGGTTCCGTATTTGTTTCCGCTTTCTGAAATTGGTTTAGTACAATTCTGCTAAATTTCCAGTGGACACAAGGGGGCAGACCTGCCGTTCCTTCTGCCTGAGGGTTGCCAGGTTACTAACTCTGCCAGCCTGTGTTTCTTGTGGACTTTTTACCCCAGAGCTCAAGAAAGAGAATGACAGCGCTCCTCTTAGAAATCTTGCAGCTCTGTGTCCTGTTGTTCTAAGCCTGCACTGGAGTTGCCTAGCCTTCACCAGGAACAAAGGGACCCATTCCTTGGGATAAGTATAAAAATGACTCTCTATTTCAGGCGTAGAGAAGGAGACATGGCAGAAGACGGAGAAAGAAGACTCAGCTGGGCTTGTGAGTTCCCAAACATGGAGGGTGGGGGTGGCTTATGTTTCTCTTGGGTTTGTTTAGAGCACACACTAATTTGATTAAGTAATTCTAGTTATTATTAGGTGATGTGGAGAAGAAGAAATGTCTGGTGGGCCAGATGGCTCAGCAGGGAAAGTGCTTGCTGCCTAAGCCTGACCACCCACATAAAGGCGGAAGGAGAGAATGGACTCCACAGAGTTGACCTTTGACCTCTGTATGCACGCCATGGTGTACATGTTCACACTCACAGTTTCTTTATCTGAAGATCTTAATATTCACGCATAATGTTCTTTACAACAATCACTAGCCCCGTGTGTCTAGGGCAACTTGAACTATTATTAGTCTGAATCAAGATGCCTTATATAATATAAATACAGGCAACCTTTGAAGGCTAAGTATACAAAAAGAGAGGATTAGTAAATGTCTCAGTGATTTCTTATATTGACTCCTAATAAGATAACAATTGGGGTATGTTAAATGTGCTACTAAAATCAAAACTGGAATGGTAACTCACACCTTATTAAAATCCTGGTACTTGGGAGGCTGAGGTAGGAAGATGGCCCCAAATTCAAGACCATCCTAGATTACACAGCAAGTATATTGATTACTTTTCCATTGCTGTGATAAAACCCCATGAACAAGGCAACTGGTACAAGAAAAGGTTTATTTGGGGCTTACATTTCTAGAGTCCAAAATTTAGTGGCTAAAATAAGAAACATTTATTACTTCATTGTTCCTGTCCTTTGTGGGGACAGGGTGCCAGGGCCCCTGATTCAAGGCCTTTCTTGACTAAATTATTGACCAGAGCGGATCTTTGTGCTTGCTTGAAGGTGGATTTGCTTCCAATCTTACCTTGTTATTGGTGGACACATCAGTTCTTTGCATCATGGGTCTTTCCTCAGAACATCCCAGGGTATAGGAGCAGAGACTCTGTGGCCAACTTGTCACCATGGCAACTCTTTTAAAGGACGACATTTAACTGGTGACTCGCTTACGGTTTCAGAGGTTTAGTCTGTTATCATTATGGGAGAGGCATGGCAGTACGCAGGCAGGCATGGTACCGGAGAAGGAGCTGAGAGTTCCACATCCTGCAGGCAGCAGGAAGTGAACTGTTTCACTGGACGTGGCTTGAGTATATACAAAATCCCCACAGTGACACACTTCCTTCAACAAGGCCACACCTCCTAATAGTGCTACTCCCTATCAGGTTATGGGGGCCAATACAGTCAAACCACCACAGTGACCTTTGCCATATCTGGGTGGTGATTGAGAGCAGCCATCATCTAAAATGAAATTATACAAGAGAGGTATGGGGATTTGGGGGGAACCTGGTAGAGGTTACCCAAGTGTCCTCTGGTTAAACTCCACTCCCCAAGAGCTTCTGGAGAATGTGCACTGCTGGGTGGTGGCATTGGAATTTCTCTTTTCTGTAACCAAAGATAAATTTCTAAGTTGGGTCCAAGGCTAAGGTCTATAAAGACGTATGCTAAAATTATATACATGTTTTTGAGCATTTGGAGAAAGTAGGAGGCCACAATGACCCAGAAAGTTTTAAAGCCACTGGTTGACGTTGCCATTAGGTTTTCTGTTTAGTCTTTGTTTAAACAAGATGCCAGGAAACAGACTGATTACCAGTCAGTAACTTCTCAGTTGTGTGTGCTCACTCACACTTGGAGGTTGAGATGGTGTCCAGGGTCACTTTGGCTGGCATTTTGGTTGTTAGGTCACACATACACAAAAAACTTCACTTTCCTAGGTGGAAATTGCTTCTTTAAAAAAAAAAAAAAAAAAAAAAAAAAAGCTTTGGGAACAGCAAAATACCAACCATATCTGTCTCTTTAGAACTGTGGGCTATCCTGGTACACCAGGCGCCCAACGGCTGCAGATTTAGTTGCAAAAATGAACTGCTCGTTGTTTTATGTTGTATCTGGTCTCTTTGTATAAGGGTTAATATGTATGTGAACTTGAGGTCATCACTGCAGCTCAGGTTCTTGGTGATCCTGAACTGGAAGGATGAAGGTCAAAGGTCAGATAGATTTGCCACATCTGCCTGTTGGCATGGAAGTCAGTAATACATGTTAGCATCATTGCTAAAATGGTTAAATGGAGACATACAAGCATCCATATGTGAGTGGAAGGATTCTCACTGTTCTTGAGAAATTATTTGCCTAGGACACATCCCCAGAAAATACCAGAAAACTGAGGTATTCTCTTCTGCCTAGGATTCTCTTCCTCCATAAGCCGATCCCAGTAGTCACTAGGGCCTCTTCCTGTAGTTAGTCCTGAAACTAGATTGTCTGCTTGAAGCTACTCCCTTCTCCTGCTTCTTCTGCCAGCACACCTCTAAAGGGTTTGATCTGCTTTGTGCCGAGGAAGCTGTTGAGGGATATTCATGGGTAAGCTGAGGGAAACTGACTGTGTTAAATGCAACCCCTGTCCTGCAGGGACCGCTGGAGTCCTCTTCAGAAAAGGCCCCCGTGTCTGTGGCCTGTGGAGGTGAGAGCCCCCTGGATGGGATCTGCCTCAGCGAAGCGGACAAGACTGCTGTGCTCACTTTGATCAGAGAGGAGGTAAAGTTGTTTATCTGCAGAGGTCCCGTCTCTGCTGGCTCATCTCACCGTAGCCTGCAGCTTTCTGTTCATGGTAGCCCCCTATGGCTCACATAAAGGGGTTCCTGTAGACTTGGACATTAGCGCTGGTCTTCAGTGAGCTGATACACAGAGGTATCAGTGGGACTTTGTGTACGCTGAGGTGTGCTACTACCACGTAGTAGTAGATCAGGGGAAAGCTGCGTCTGGTCAGGTTGAAGCATACAGGGTAGCCCCTGGGCTTTTTTTTTTTATTTTAGATGTATGACAGAGGAGCACCTAATCCCTCAAGCTGGATTTACTGGGAACTGAACTCGGGTCCTTTGAAACAGCAGCCAGGGATCTTAACCTCTGAGCCATCCCTCCAGTCCCATTTCTATATTCTTTTTTTTTTTTTTTTTTTGGTATATGCTCATTGGTGTTTTGCTTGTACGTATGTCTGTGTGAGAGTGTCAGATCCCCTGGAACTGGAGTTACAGACAGGTGTGAGCTGCCATATGGGTGCTGGGAATTGAAACTGGGTCCTCTGGAAGAGCATCCAGTGCTCTTCCCCCACTGAACCATATCTCCAACCCCTCATTTCTATATTCTTAAGATTCTTTATATAAGCACAAAACAGAAGATGTACAGGAACAGTTAGCAGGAAGAGGGACCCTAAGGAGTGTAGGGAAAAGGAGGGTGCTGGATGACCATTGGACCCCTGTTATGAGCTGCACCCTGAGCCCCTTCATCCTGACTCAGTTCTTATGGTGCTGAGACATCACTACGGGAAGGGATGTGCATCTTTCCCAGTGTGGTGATGCACTAATCCCAGCACGTGGTTGGCTAAGGCAGGAGGATCACAAGTTCAAAACTGAACGTGGATACATTGTCTCTCAAAATAAAGACACAAAAATGTAGAGGAGTTGCAAGTATGGCCTAAATGTGAGGGTGCTGTCCTGTCCCCTCACTTGGTGGTGGCTGTGTCACAGCACCCTGTGCAGTTGACAATGTACTTTCCCAGATGTTTATGAACGTTATATAACAGCAGTGAGATGTACTATATTCCTAAATGTTAGTCGAATATCTTGTGTCAGACTTGGTCATGCATTATTTTTCAGTTTCCAATAGATAGATGAAGTAAAACAAAGCTCTGTTATAATCTAGATAATCACTAAAGAGATTGAAGCAAATGAATGGAAGAAGAAATACGAAGAGACCCGAGAGGAAGTCTTGGAGATGAGGTTAGACCGGCACTGGGGGTGGGCTTGGCTGCTGCCTTTGTACTTTGCTGGTTTAGTCAGCAGTGTGTTCTTGTCACAAAAGCAATGGCTGACAATGTGAGGACTTTGAGCAATCTGAGATTAAGAAGTCAGTACCGTCTGACCGTCTGGGCATGGCGGTGCTCACCTTTAGTCCTAGCACTCTAGAGATCAAGGCAGAGCTAGGTGATGTCTGAGTTTGAGGCCAGCCTGGCCTACTTACCAAGTTCTAGGATAGCCAGGGTGACATAGGAAGGTACTGTCTTAAAAAAGGAAGGAAAGAAGTCAGAGCTAGTAGTGACTAGTTATTTTTTCAAATGCCTTAGCTTCTGTGGGCTATTTACAATACCACGTGCAACCAGAACTCATATAATTCTTGCCTTTTAAAAAGAATGACAGAAATCTATTTAAAAATACCCATTTGCACCTTTAATCTCAGCACTCAGGAGGCAGAGGCACTCTGAGTTCGAGGTCAGCCTGGTCTACAGAGCAAGTTCTAGGACAGGCTCCAAAACAATACAGAGAAACTCTGTCTCCAAAAACAAAAAACAAACAAACAAACAATAAAAAGTAATAAAATTTATTGATATATTCAATGATGGAGGTATTGAAATTAGTAAAAGCAAATTTAGTGGGCTTTGAATAAAAGTCTTTAGCCATGGTGGTAGTGATGGTGAGGGCTTTCAACTTCCTGTAATCCCAGCACCTGTATAGAGACTGGAGCACGAGAACAGCCACAGGTTTGAGGCCAGCCTGGGGCCCATAACAAGTTCATGGCAGTCAGCTACACTTTTATCCCAGAGATTTGTGCCCCTCCCCCACTCCCAAAGAAATCTCCTTTTCTTTTTTCTTTGTCCAGTCTAGAAATTTGAGTCATTACGTTACTGAAGATAACCTCAAAGAAAGAAAGCATGAACCTCACCAGCGAGCATTGGAGTGCTGACCAGATATTTTAAACATGACGACTGTAATTTGTCCTCCCATATTATTTGGTATGGGAGGATTTCCTGGTTCAAGGCCCAGTGCTGGGCTTGGAACAGCCCCACCATTAGTGAGCTTACAGTAGCCACCATAAGGACCTCGGATGCAGACACCAGCTTGGTGGACACACCAGTAAGGGAAGATCTCCAGGCACTGGGCAGTTCAGACTAACCACACTTCACTGAGTGAAAGGCCAGCTCAAGGGCATGGTCTTCAGGATCTCCAAATAAGTGAAATACTTGTGGAGAAGGACACAAGATAAAACTTTGTAGCCGAATCAGAGGAGAACGATGCTTAGGAAGGTAGATAAGCCTGGAAAGACTGAAGTCAGAGTGATCTCAGAGAAGCTCCGAACAGCGCCTTTAATTTAAACAGATTGTCTCACAATGTTTAAATGGGAAAATGAAACACTAAAAGGCATATGTCCTAGCTGGCTTTCTGTTGCTGTGAAAAACACCATGGCTGAAAGCAGCTTGGGAGAGGGAAGGGTTTCAGTTTATACTTGCAGGCCATGGTCATCGTCAAGGTAGAGTGAGGGCAGGAACTGAGGCAGGAACCATGGAGGGATGCCCCTTACTGACTTGCTCAACTAGCTTTTTTTATAGAACCAGACTTCCTGCTGAGGGATGACGGGTGCCGTCAGTCAGGAGAGTCACTGAAGAGGGCACGGGCCAGTGTGATCAGGACACTTCTTCAGTTGAGTCTCTCTCATGCCAGGTAACTCTGGTTGTATCAAGCTGACAGTAAGAAATGACCAGGACAGCTTCTTCAATACAAGTTGTCAAAAGCTTCTGGTGTTCAGGGTACAGCCCAGTGGTAGAGCACATACTTAGCTTGTGCGAGACTAGGGCTCTGTCCTGGCACCCAGGACGTAAGCCTGTTTCTTCCCATTGCCTTTCTTCCTTTTTTATCTTCTGCTAAGAACATTTAACCCTTCAGACCTCTAGTAAGCCTTATATCTATAAGAAAAAACAAAGAAGGGAGGCAGAGTAAAGACGTGGTTTATATATGTGTTACTATATGTTCATGAATTCGTTTCAGGTAGTATTTCTATGACTTCCATTGCTTCTGATAGCAAAACAAGTTTTATAAATTACTTTTTTTTTCTTTTTTAGGAAAATTGTGGCTGAATATGAAAAGACCATTGCCCAAATGATTGGTAAGGAGAAAGGTTTTCTTGTTTGTTTTGGTTTTGTTTTTTGAGCGTGGGCCATAGGACCTATCCGAGCCTATTCAGATTGTCATAACAACAGACAAACACTTGTTTTTCCAGTTTTGAAATCTGTGGAGTCAAAGCCAAGGCTCTGGCAGATTCTGTGTCTGAAAGGGCACATTCCCCATGGTGCCTTCCCACTTGGTCATTACATCATTCCTGAAGGAGATAGCTAGCTTTCTGAAGCCTTATTCATTTATTTTTAAAGCTAAATTGATTTTTGTGTGTGCATGTGCGTGTGTGTTTACGTGTGTGTGTGCGCATGCGCGTGGCACGCGTGCACGCTGCAGAGCACCTACACCTTCATGAGTTTATGTGCTGCAGGTGCCCATGGATACCACAAGAGGATTTCAGATCATCTGGAACTGGAGTTAGAGGTGGTTATGGGTTGCCTAATGTAGGTAGTAAGAACTGAACCTGGGTACTCCACAAAAGCAATACACACTTTCCAGACCTTCTCTGGTTTTTTAAAAGTGACATATCGTAATTATGCATATTATACATGAATACAGTGGCCAATGATTAAGCTATTATAGCTAGCATTTCTATTTCCATAAACATTTGTCACTTCAGGCTAGGTGCATAGTATTCTCCACTCCCAGGAGGCAGAGGCAGGCAGATCTCTGTGAGTTCAAGGCCAGTCTGGTCTACATAGCAAGTTCCAGGCCAGCCAGGAGTACATAGAGAGACCTGTCTTAAAAAGAAAACACACACACACACACATTTATCATTTCTTGGGGAACATTCAAATTCCTATGTAGTTTCTAATTCTTTATAAAGTATATACCAAATTCTTGTAGGTGAAAGTCATCCTACTATATTATAGAACACTAGAACTTGCATTCTGGTACTCATTACCCAGCCTTCCTCTGTTCATCTCCAGCTCATGTAGTATTTGTCTTCCGTGTCTGGCTTACGTCATTTAATACAGTATTCACTGGCCTGGGCTCTCTATAGGTACTGATTCTGTTTGTTCTCATACCTTGTTTCTATATATTTTCTCACCCCTGTGACCAAAACGTGACTGTAAATGGCAGAGGAAGGGCTTATTTGTGATTTTAGAGAGTTCAGTCTATAGTCCCTGGGTCCCGCACGCTTGGACAGAACATTGTGTTGGTGACAGTATGTGACCAGCAAGAATGGAGGAAAGGCAAGATAATGCCCTTCAGAGACACACCCTAGGGCAGCCTTGAACTCACTGTATAGCCCAGGCTGGCTTGGAACTCAGTGTTTTTTAGCTCAGTGTCCCAGTCCTGGCATGGCAGGTATGTGCCTGTGCACTTGATGAGTCCTTCATCTGATGGAATGTGTTCTCACTGCAAGTTCTGATTCCTTCCATCAGACCCAGCACAGAGACCGCTTACAGAGTAACAGTGACAATCGTCTGTGTTGAACTTACAGCCCCCTTTAGTTACCATTCTAAGGCTTGACTCTGACATGAATCTATTCTGAAAAGGTTTCTCTACTGTCCACACCACCAACTGCCTTTCCAGCCTAGCCTTGGCCCTGGCTGTCTGCTCTATGTGGCTCCCATCCCCAGTCCCTGCTGGGCACCTGCTCCAGTCTCTCCTGAGAGGCAGGCCAGTCTGTGACCACCGGCTCTGTCCCCACCTCAGGGAACACTTGTCACTGTGTGTCCACCCACTAGAATATGAGTTCTAACATTGTTTGGCTCATCCGGAGTTGGCCTTCACTTGTCCCCTTTGACTTGTGGTTCTCAGAAGACGAGCAGAGGACCAGCATGACCTCCTCAGAAGAGTTTCCAGCAGCTGACGATGGAGAAAGAGCAGGCCCTGGCTGACCTCAACTCTGTGGAAAGGTCCCTTTCTGATCTCTTCAGGAGATATGAAACCTGAAAGGCGTGCTAGAAGGGTTCAAGAAGGTAGGGTGTCCTTCTGCCTCTGTCTCCTGGGTGGTGGTGTGGTTTCCTGTAATCACTCCTATCAGTGGTGGGCAGCCTTGTGTGGGGAGACTAAGCCTTGCTGGCCTCTTGGTCATTGGCCTTCTGCTAATGTCAGAGTACAAGAGATCGTAGTTCACTGAACAAAGTCCAAGCTAGTAGTCTAGAAGAAATGAGTGGGATCAATCATTCAGTTGTGTACCATCAGAGGTATCATGGAATTCTTTTTCTTGGTAGGTCTAACACAGGGCCTTTGTACATGAAGTGTTTTATAATCTTAATCTGAAGGAATGTGAGGCAGAAGAATTTCGAAACCTAACCCAGTCTAGGCTGTAAAGTGAGACCTGTCTTAGAAAACTAAATACTAAAAATAAATTAATAAGATGGCACTGGCCAATTATCTAATACAGGGCTTGAGAAAGAAGCTGCATTAGGAAGTTGAAGCCCTGTCTAGTGCTGCAAATTAGGACACGGAGAAACTCTACAGGCTTTCTTTAGTGGGGGCTTGCACAAGCCAGTTGATGTTGCCATGGACTATGAATTAAACTCATCTCATTTGAGCAGGTTTACTTATATAAAACAAAACAAAAAACAACAGCAGCAATAAAAACCAACCTTTGTGCAAGAGATACAAAGAGACATACACATTTGTTTTGGATTTTCACTTTGGAATAGAATGAAGAAGCCTTGAAAAAATGTGCTCAGGATTACTTAGCTAGAGTCAAGCAAGAAGAGCAGCGATACCAGGCCCTGAAGATTCATGCTGAGGAAAAGCTGGACAAGTAAGAGCTTGTAAATGTGCTGTGCGCTTGGTTACTGTTGCAGGTGGAGGCAGACACTATTTTGTCTATGAAGTAACATACTTAATACCTTTTGCTATCTGCTTTCTTGTTTGCTTTTTTATCTACAAAGCAACACATCGCACCTTTTCGTATCTGCATTCTTGCTTGCAGCTTCAGAGTACATGCCTGGGTGTGTGTGATTTTATTTCTCTGCATGGTTAAAACATTTGTGAATATTAAAAAAAAAAAAAAGGTGTTTAGTGTACACACAATATCCCTCTGTCACCTCTTAACTTTTAGCTCATTAGTGTTGGTATTCTGTGTTTTTCCTCAGACATACATGCTGACCCCCATGGTTTATCTTTCCATGCCCACAAGGACCTTCTCCCTGGCATTTCACAGTTGAGAAGGTCTCCATTTAGGCAGCCCTCTTGCTGGACATTGTGGTTATTAAAGTCTTGTGGTGCAGAAGTTCTGTAGTGACTGCCCTTTAGTGCCTTCATGATAAAAGGCGAGGGAGTTGGAGACCAGCAGACATATAATAATCATACGCACTGTCCAATTGTCCTCATTAGGCATACATCAACTTATCCCCTCGACGACCTACGGTAGTGTGTTTTCCCTGCCAATAGCTCCACTTTTTAGTTTATCTTCAAATGTAACAGGCCAAAGTGTTAGCTTTTTGTGGGGGTTTGGCAAGAAAACACAGCATTTACTATATTCATAGCATTATACACATTCAGAGTAGTTTTATTTATCTTATATTTACCTTGGTAAAATTAAGTGTATTTCAACAATTATCCACTTAAACACCTTATTATGACTGACTGTTCTTCGCCTTTTCCTTTGTAACTTAACATGTGTCATATACTAGGGGCACTAGCTCTCACTGTAGTTGTGATTCATTTTCTGAGCTTACTATTGTGTGTGTGTGTGTGTGTGTGTGTGTGTGTGTGTGTGTGTGTGTGTGTGTGTGCTGGCTCTGTTTATGGGGGCGGGCAGGGTTTCCTTTCTGTGTTTGTTTGTTAGGTGCTGGGATTGAACCCCAGACTTGGCACATGCTGGACAGAGATCCTATCATGAAGCTTTGTAGTGTGTTCTGATGTACAGAAATATGTCAGGGTCTTCCTGTATAGTTCAGTCTGACCTTGAAGTTGCCTCAGCCAAGTTCTAGACTCATGGCTTATGCCACCATGCCCTACTCAGGAAAAAAAAAAAAAAAAAAAAAAAAAAAAAAAAAGAAAGAAAGAAAGAAAGAAAGAAAAGAAAAGAAAAGAAAACAAAAAAATCTTTGACTGTGGTAAGAGTGTCAGTCACTCCATTTGAGGTTCCTGAATCCTGTCACAGTGTTAAAAGTCTTCTCCATTGTAGGTAGAATATTTTCCAGTTTTCCTTCTCGTGCTTGCATGGCTTCCTTCTTTTCTTTCCCCGCAGTCCTGAAGTCCAATAACACATTTTTAGAATTACCCCCCAGGGACAGGTATTTCCCTCTCCTCCCTCTTTTTAAAAGATGAACTGGGCATTGGTGGTGCATGCCTTTAATCCCAGCACTTTGGAGGGAGAGGCAGGCAGATCTCTGAGCCGAGACCAACCTGGTCTATAGAGCAATTTCCGAGACAGTCACCAAACAATACAAGAAACCCCCTTGCGGGAGGAGGTGGGATGAAATCTCATTGTGTATCCTTGACTGTCCTGGAACTCGATCTATAGACCAAGTGATCTCAAACTCACAGAGATCCACCTGTCTCTGCCTCTGCTAGGACCAAGGGGCATGTGCCACCATGGTCATCTCCCATCCTCGGTTTTTAACTACAAAGCAATATAGTGTAGTATGTGTTTTGTGATCTGTATTCCCATCTGTAACCATGGGAGTTTCTCTCCTTCCTACTCTTTTATGGCCTCCACTAAGGATTTGTTGCATGTCCTTATGTTGTTTTGTGCCTTTTTGATATATATTATCTCAAAAAAGCCTACAGATTTCCCTTTCAACTTAGTAGCATATTAGAGCCATTTACCAAGTCAGAACTCATAGCTCAGTCTAATTCCTTTTATTAGGTGTCTGCTGGTTGAGAGCCACCATGTGGGTACCGGGAATGGAAGCTGGGTCCTCTGCCAGAACAGCCAGGGCTCTTAAGCATTGAGCCAGCTCTCCAGTGCCATAACACTCTTTACCCCCGATGAACGTTTGAGTTGGTTCACACTCTCCCTATTGAAAAATGCCTACATTAACAGAGTGACATTTCTGTGAGGTGTAGCTAAAGATGGGATTGCTTTTGTGTCATGAGGCGTGTATATTTCTTTTCCCTCATTGCCACGCCATGACCCCATCTTTCCCATGGCATGTGATCCTGTCTTTCTTTGTATACTTAGGCCAAAACCATAAACTGACTGTTTGACCATGAATACCCACTTAGCTGCACAAGAGGCACGGCTTCAGTCCCCCACACAAAAGCTTGCTATTTTAATTTGCATGTCTTTTGTTGCTGGTGAGGTTTTAGTTTTAATCTTTTATCAATTAAATGGGATGTTTATTAAAGTGGCATGATGTCTTTCCTTTGCATCTCATTGATAGAGAAAGATACTCGGGAGGGTGAACTCATAGACATCAGTACCTGTACTTTCTGTGTTTAGGTCAGCAGTGTTGACCAGTGGAAAAGAAAACCAGGAAATGCTACATATGAGAGCTGGTCAGCAAGGACAGTCCTAATGTAAGGGTAGGAATGAAGCAAATGCTTGAATATAGAGCTGCCTTTATACCACCATTTAAGTGGAAGAGGACATTTGCTGAGTGATCATATTTAGAGTAATCCAGCCCACCCTTGTACGAGATCCTTAAAAGTTAGCATTGTTTACAAATAATAATAATAATAATAATAATAATAAGTCATACAACTTTTGAATATTACTAAAAATAAAGCCAAAGATAGATACTCAAGTTCAAATTCCCTCAAGCTGATCAGAAAAGCAATGTAGCTGGCCCCACTAGCTCTTACCTCTACCTCAGGCTGAAAGGGTTGTCTTGTCCTCAAAGTAGCTAGAGAATAAATTCCACATGGGGCCCCTTTAGTTCTTCTTTTATACCTCTCAAATCCTGGGATTAAAGGCTCATGATCCCAAGTGCTGAGATCACCTTGTGTGAGCTGTTTCTCTGCTGCTAGGACTGGATCGTCTTGTGTGGCCGGAACTAACAGATCTGTATGCCTGTGTCTTCCGAGTCCTGGGATTAAGGGCATGTGCCACCACCCTCTATGGTTTGCTAGTATGGCTGCTAAGATTAAAGGTGTGTATGACTGTTATCTGACCTCTGTGCTTGTGGCTAGCTTTGCTTTCTGACCCTCAGGCAAGAACTTTAATAAATCATAACTAATACACCAAATTTGAAGGATAGCAGTTTGATTCTGCTCAGGATGTACCCACTGGAAGTGTGCTTACACTTTCTGAGTTATCGTTTCTTGTTTGTTTGTTTTTTTTTGTTTGTTTTGTTTTTTGTTTTGTTTTTGTTTTTTTTCTCAGTTATTTCAACTCTGGGTTTTGTGGAAATCAGTAGTCAGTGCCCTGAGTCTGTCTGTTCCTTGTGGCTAACCATGTACTTATTTTTTTTCTGCAAACAAACCCAACACTCCATCACAGAGTAATGAAGAGATTGCTCAGGTTCGCTCAAAGGCGAAGGCTGAGAGCGCTGCTCTCCACGCTGGACTCCGGAAAGAGCAGATGAAGGTGGAGTCTCTAGAAAGGGCCCTTCAGCAGAAGGTACGTCACGGGAGGAGCTTCTGCTAGGCTACAGAGGCATTGGGCTGCTCTCCTCCTCTGTGGCTCATGTCAGTCCCTGGTGTACTTAGCTTGTCATGGACCTGGAGTGAAAGTGACCTTGCCCTTTTTACACAGACTTACTCCATAGCTTTTTATGAACGGGTTCAGAGGACATACATCATATGTAACCAAGGCTAAGGGTAGCCATCAGCCATTGGCAGGGGGTCCAAGGGGGGGGGTTGTGTTTTAATTGGAGTTCAGGAGGCTTGGACACTAGGGTCCTAAGGCTGCCATTTACCCCCTCTTCTTGTGCAGTTTGAGCATCTTCCATTCATTAGACCTAAAGATTTATTTCAGAGCAGATGTGCCCTCCAGGGACACTAGCTACGTCTGGAGACTTGGACTTGACTGTTGTGATTGGGAGATGCTAGTAGCCCTGAAGTGGGTAAAGGCCAGAGATGCTGCCAAGATCCTATAATAGGACAGGATAGCCCAAATCAGCCCCAACATAATGGATGCTGAGATGCTGCCATACAGACAGTGTCACCAAGGTTCGAGACTGGGTGCTTGCCATTGGACAAGCAAGCTAGTGAAGCATAAAGACAAGGTGCTGAGGTAACTAAGGCAATCTCATTTGGAAGTCAGCACAAGAGGGCAGAGAGCTCTTGCCGGAGCTGAGTTGGAGTGTTTTATTGAAATGTGGTGCTGAGGGTTCTGGGGCCTGATGCCTGCCTCTGAGGCCAGCCTCTCGTTCTCGCACCTGCCCCTCTACCACACTCCTCCTACCCTCTCTCACGCTCCGTCTCTCACACCTGCCTTCACACCTGCCTGACTGGGCTTGGTGGTGCACGCTTGATCCTAACCCTGCATCTCAGGATGCTTTTCCATTCTACAGAGATCACTCTCCTTGGGGTATTTGTCAACACTTGCCCCTTGGGGTTGCATATACCTCTGGGTGAGTTGGAAGGGCAGCTGCTCCAGCCCTCTTTGCTGATCCTTCCGGCTGTCAGAGAGAACGCCTAATGCTCGGTCTCCATGCCGCCTACTGTCCTCACTTCTGCTCAGCAGTCCTCGCTGCTCAGCGGGTTCAGCCCTTCCCTTCTTCACTGTTTAACCTCCCCTGTGTCACCACACGTGTGCAGTCATGCAGTGACACCTTTGACTTACAGTTTGTGTCTGGTGGCCCCACCATTCAGACCCTGAATCCCTCACCCCTGAAGGCTGGGATGGTAGGTGAAGTGAGATCCGTGGCCTGTGTTTTTTAGCAAGTGAGCTAAGGGTCAGGGGCCCGGCATCAACAGCTCAGTTCAGTGCCATACTGTGTGCGAGCACATTTTGATGGGTAGAAAGGAGGAGGCATTTGTCCTTCTGCTCTCCCAAGACTGCGGTGTGCAGGGAAGTGCTGAGTTGCGCTAGGATGTCTAGGAATAGTCTAGCCACTGGCCTTTCTCAGAGCACAAAGCAGCCTGCATATCCTCTATCTTTCAGAATCAGGAAATTGAAGAACTGACAAAAATCTGTGACGAGCTGATCGCAAAGCTGGGAAAGACTGACTGAGGTTCCTCCTGTGAGCTGTGCAGGTCTGAGTCTGGCTGCTTGTGTCCTGACCACAGATATCTTGCCTTATCCAGAAATAATCCCCCTTTGCAGAGAAAAGAACTTTACAAAAGCACATGCCTGCTGCTGCCTGTCCCCTTCTGCCGCAGCTGGAGCCTGGGCCGGCGGAAAGGAGGATGCGACAGCCCAGCCCTGCTGGGCTGCAGGTCCAGGCTGGGCAGGTCCGGCATGTGCTTCTCCATCTTCAGTTCATCTTGCTGTTAACTTTACTTCTCCCAACTGTGAAATTTCTAGTTTTGTGGCAACTGTATGGGATCATCTTCCCAGCACATATTTGATATTTTTATGACCCGGTTAATCTTTTAAATTTCAATATCAACAGTTTATCAAAGGAGACAGTTTGGCCTATTGCTCCTAACAGCTTATCAGTGACTCCGAGTTCCCTTTTATTTACAGACTTTTACTCATGCATGCACATCTATCTATACATGCTGCTCCCCTGCCCCCGGGGGAATTCAGATAAGAATTCCCAGGAAGGAGCATAGTTAGGTAAATCAATGTAGATCTTCTTTGGAAACAGAACCTCAGGGTCTAAAAGCTAGTGTCAGACTTTGTAGGGGTTGACATTATAGCTCTCTTGCTAGCGTGTTTCTATACACAAAGCCCTGGGCTTGATCCCCAGAATTACAAAACTGGATATTGTAGGGCACGCCTGTAATCCCAAAAACTCCAGAAGTGGAGGCAGGAGGATCAGAAGCTCAGGGTCATCCTCCAGCCTGGACTACGAGCTCATGTTTCAGAAAAGGGGTGAGTGGAAGGACACATGGTAACATCTTAGCTGTCTTAGCTATCTGGAGGCCTGGGCGGGAAAACCACTCAAACAGAGCTTAAGGACAGACAGCACAGCACTAGACAAAATAGACATTTTCTCATGAAATCACACAACCAAACTAGAACTTGAGTCAGGTGGGGAGATTGGGGATAGGGAGGTCAGGGATGTAGGTTTGATGTTCAAGAAAGCCTTGGCAGTGCTGTCTGGTGCTCCCAGTATTTGGGCCCTTGTGGCCCTTTGTGCTTGTACTGAAAGTAGCCTTTGCCATCTCCTCTGACAGCAGTGTGGGCCTCCCTCGGAGCTGGTATTTGATGGATGTCGCCTGGGCAGTTAGTCTCAAAGGAAATTAGCTGTTGTCTATTTCAAATACACCCAAAGGGACTCTGGGAAAGGGTCAGCTGATCTTGTTAAAACATACAGGGTGCCTAAGGACCAGTTAGGAGGGTGAAGGACTGTGGTTTTCTGTGTTTACAAGCACGGCACACTTCAGAGACTTAAAAACAACAACACATGTTTTGAACAAAACAGGCAGTAAGCAGCTCATGTGACTCATCCCCCATATGTCAGCATGAGTGCTGGGGAGGGCGGCAGGGACAAAGAAGGTCCACACAGACAAAATGAAATTCTGTGAACTCCATACTACACATTAACCCCCAAGTAGAAATCCCCCATGTTGATGCCAGTAAATTCCTTCCCATTTGATCGGCAACACCAAATTAATTCAAGTTTTTGTTTGTTTGTTTTTTGGTTTTAAGAGACAGGGTTTCAGCTTTGGAGCCTGTCATGGAACTCACTCTGTAGACCAGGCTGGCCTTGAACCAAGAGATCCTCCTGCCTCTGCCTCCCGAGTGCTGGGACTAAAGGCGTGTGCCACCACCGCCCAGCTTCATCAAGTTTTAATGCATTTTGCCTTACTTTTCTACCCTGAGTCATCATGGTAATTATGCAGTATTGAGTACACACGTGTTTTCCTCCTTGTAAAAATATTGCATGCCCCATCTTCAGAAAATGATTGTGCCTCATAGAGAAAACTCTGTAGATCTTAGCAACAGCGTTCCTTTAGCTGGGCACGCCAAGGGCACAAGCTTTAGCTCCAGGCAGTGAGTACGTCTTTTCAAGCTAGAAATCACATTTGTCAATATGCATTTATTATAATTGGTGCTTAGGTTAGGCTGTATTTTTGAGGCCTACTGTCTTAAGACTTCATACAAAAACACAAACAGTTATCTGTGGTTGGAGAAATGGCTTGACAATCATTTGGACTCTGAATTTAGTCACAGTGGCTTAACGTGAAAGTTGTAGCTGTAGACATACTGTCAGGTTCAAGTGTCTTCAGGGACATA